GAGGAAAAAAACAAAACAATAGCAGACCAAACAGCGTGGAAGTTTCTGCTTGGTGGTTTTTAATTTCCTGTGTGTATATCACATTATGTACACTGACTACAAATATGTACATCTGACTGGAGTGATGGATGGAGGCAAAGAGACAGTCGGTTGCTGACCTTATCAATGGGAATTATGGGAGAGATAAACAGGCAGCTGGGTGAGTCAGTGGCCTAGTAACTGCAGTACGATCATTCAACAACAGACACATTGCTGACATTGCTTTAATGAGTCTGAGGTGTTCTCCTAACATCCACAAAGCTGATTGGTCTTGATGGAACCTGTAAAACGCACTTTACAGCTGCAGAAAAAAGAAACAAACACAATCATGTGTTCCCAAAGAGTTTATTGCTAAAGTGCAGCCAGTCTACTCCTTTGAACACCAGAAAGAATAAAAAGAAAGACGAGGAATATTCTCCTGCAGCTCCCTGTTCCCCTCTCAGTGTTAAACGTTGCCTAAAAGATATTGTATGCGTTTCGTTATGATCAAAAAATGGATTTCCTTCAGCAAAAATTGTCCTCTTTCCAGTCCACTTCTCACCTGAACTGAAGGACGACAAAGAAAGATCCAAGACTTACAGCTCAGATCTCACCTGTACGACATAAAGGGTATTTTGTGAAGATGATACATGTCTAAAAGGCAATGCACTGTTTTTCTTAAACACATAAATAATGTGGGCTTCACTGTGATACAAAGCAAGATATTGTTTGTTTTTAACTGTTAATAAAATAAACTCTCAAAGATGTAAGGAAGTCTATCTGAAGCAACCTGCCCACTGCTGCCTTTCTCCTGCTCGTTCACGCTTCAGACAGCAACGCGGCGTCGCCGTCCGGATTTCGGTACCCAGCCTGGATACTGATGGGAACCCGTGTCTGTGAAAATGCTGCTTTAGTGTTGGAATGCAAATGAAGAGAACCACATCACTAGAAGGTTGTTTTGCTCCTTTTAGTCGGCACCAAAGCAAATAGACTTTCTCATAGGTTTTTTTCAAATTGCAACCAGAACAAGGGTGACATCAATCCCAGATCTGGACTTCGTCTTCTGAGGCAAATTGAACACAGCGCAGGACAAGACCATGCCGTTGTTTTGGACTTAAACTAACAACTTGTCTGAATCCATCTAAACATGCAAGCAGAGATGGCATTTCATATTTATACATCCAATGAAAATGTGACTCTCCTGCATCTTGTAAAATAAGTTAAGAAAAAAGGTCAGAAAGCCTTGGTCCAGTGAACCAGCGTCACAGTTGTGAAACTTTCTTCATATGGTTAAAATGAATGTTTTCAACATCTAGATCACAGTTCAGCACGAAAGCTTCTTATTACGTTTTCTCATTTAAACACTTGCACATTCTGCTCAAACTTTTCAGGCTTTTGCCTATTTTCATTTGTTTGGTGGTAAAAAAATAAATAAATAAAATAAAAATCTGGGATGGTTCCATAAAGCTGTGGCTCTGGGCTACACTTTAATGGAGAAGATCTAATTAAAAGTAAAAAGCAGCAAATGTTATTCCACAGGTTTTTGTCTGTAAATGGCTAATAATCTTCACTTGGTGGTTCAGAGCTTTTTCAGTCTCACCTGGAGCTTTTTTTAAAGAATTTCAGAACATTTTTGGAGCTGCAGTGTGATAATAGCTTAGCGAGCTAAGTTGGGGTTTTAATGTCATGACGATGTCTCGATTCTTTTTGGGGTTTATTTCCGTGGTGACTTGTGTTGGATATGTGCACCAATGCAGGAAAATAAAAAAAATAACGAATACAACTGTGACAAAAAGTTAAATCAGAAGCATAAATGATGTAAAATTATTTTCAACAGCAAATAAAGCCTTATTCTGCTTTATGATGCAGTTTGTAGCTATCATAGTCACCAATATGAATCAAACAATGCCTCTACGATATCGCCGCAGAGAATCCTAAATAAATGTGTTTTGCATCAGAGAGATTAGAAAGATCAGGCTTCAGAAAACATTTCAAAGGAGTCAGGCAGTTCAGAGGATTGTCTGTGCTGGAAAAGAAAAGGTCAGTGAATTGCATCAGCGCAAAATGAATGAGGATGTAAGAGGGATGGAAATATCTGGATTTTAACAACAGGAGACATGAAGGCGGTCGTGAATCCACCGCAAAACATTTGGCTGTTTGTTCTTTTTTATTTCTTCTAAATTAAAGAAAGCTAAAAGAAAAATCTGCCACAGAGGACCGTGCAAGTTGGATTGTGCAGAGCAACATTGCCCTCTTGTGGTACCAGAGTGTTGGTGCATCAAGAGGCTGGACGCGCAGTCGGGCATCGATACCATAAAGGTCACCATAAAATATCACAAATGAGCGTGAAAAGAACTGCAAGGAGAAGTTTGTCACTGACGCTTTAAATTTCAGATGTAGCCGTGTGAATCTGTGCCCTGGTTGGAAATGACGTGATTTATCATAATTTTCTCTGTTTTATTGTAATTTGAGAAATCTGAGACGCAATAACACATGTTGGAAGGGGTTATGTGTGACATAAAAGGTTTTATGTTTGCATCCAAAACCAAAATGAACATCAAATGCAGTACAAGAATGCAGCCATGCAGTAAAGTATATAATAGTTTATTTGAAATGGATGATAGTGAGCTAAACTCAGTTCAGTGGGTCATCATTCTTATAATTTATCATTATTGGGTTGTTGTTCAGTTTTTAGGTGCTGGCTTAATTTTTATGTCTTAATTCCTGTAACATGCTCAAAAGGGGATCAAATTATCACGTCCAAATATTGAAAATGCACAACGAGCAGAAATAATGAGACAATCCCAGAAATGAGGTTTTTATTAAACACTTAACCTTTCTGTACATTAAAACGTTGTAATGAAACAGGCGCTAAGCTTATATTGTCTCAAAACATCGAACCTCTGGAAACAAAGGAAAACAAACACAAGTGAGTCGCCAGTGTCAAGAGTCCCTTTAGTGAGTAGAAATGTCCATAAAACTAAAACTAATAAAGACAATATAGATATTAAGTTACATTCTGTCAAGCTGCTTTTATGAAAAAAGAAAAGAAACACTAGCCATTTCCACACAGCAGGGTTAGGACAGGACAGGTGTTGTTTATCTGTAGGTCAAGATGAGAGTCAAAACTCACACTGTCAGTGGTGTCACTAAGAATCTGGGGCGAGACACAAACTCAAAATGTGTCATGAAATTCCCCAAAATGATCTGAATTTTGACATTTTAATTTCACAAACTGTGGAAGAGGAACATCACCATCACTGTGTTTTTTTGGTTACATCTCGTTTAACCGCTGTGTGAAAACGGCCACTGATTGTCAGTGGAAGTTTTAATGCATCGAGTTGAGAAATCGGGTGATAACCAACCATAAGTAGCAGCTAAAAAAGGTCTTAAGGCAAACATTTCTAGATAAAAAGGCCTGGGAACCTGCTTTAAGTCAACCCAACACCACAGTTCCCCCTAAAATTATCATTACATGTTAAAGCTCTGCCAATTTCTACTTCCTGAAAACGCAGCATCACCTTTCCTTTTATGCCCTTTTATCCCCAAACCTGGTCCAACATCTATAGTATTTTCTAGAACCTTTCGCCAGATTATTTTAGATTATCACTGCAAACACACGAAAGACGCTTACATCAAACCCTGGCAGATTAGACCTCAAATGAGACAGACTGACACCGTCTCTCCAACAGAAAAACGAGGATCCGTCATGGCTTCCCTCCCCGCTTTAAGAGAAAGACGCATGTCAGTTTTCCTCGCGGTTCTGTAGAGACGTTTCATTAGTTCTTCACGTTCAACAGAATCAAAAGCTGAAACGAGTTCTGGGTTGTCTGATCAATCAGTTCTGTGACACTAAAGAAGAGCTTTGGGTTAAAAGATAAAGCTACATATGAACATATTTACAGCATCCAGGCCTTCCTGTCAAAAACATTTAGCTAAACAAACACATTGGAAGGCATATGACACAATAATTGCACAGCTTAGTGATATTAGAGGCATAAAAATCTGACTTATCTGAAGTATTTAATGCTCTTTAAGGTCTGAACCAAGTCTATCTATTGACACAGGCAGTGTGGCTTTTAGCTCAAACAAACATGTAAACAAGTGTTGCTAAAGATTATGGCTGTACTGCATGAGCAATGAGAAACACTTAGCTACAGGTTTCTTCTAACTCAGTAAAGATTTCAGATGTTATGTACCGATGGCAGCCTCTTTAAACACATTTTGGCACGGCATAAAAGCATCCAGTAATATGTTGATGTTGTGGACGCTGACCTTCTGACGCCACCACAGCCCCAAAAGAGGATATTCAGATCCTTTCAAGTAGATCCCCCAAAAATATCAGAAAACCTGTCGGTGCGTCTTACAACAAAGAGAAAAATTAATTACCAAATGAGACAAAAGCTGGAACTGGAACTATATAGCAAAGATAAAGTCTCACTAGTTTTGGTGCAATTCAAAATGACGTTGGAGTCATCGCTGTGGGCATTTGAGGTTGTGTGTAAATACTTTGAGTGAGGTCAATCATTTAATTGTTGAAAATATGCAGCTTAGTTTAACTAGCAAAAGTGATTTTTTTTTAAGTTTGTCACATTATAATCCAATTTTTGCAAGAATAACATCTACTTTCCCTAGTATTCTTCCCCAGTGTAATTATTGATGTCCTCACATCTAAATTGTCTTTGATCAACAAATTAAAAGCTTTATCAGCAATAAAAGATGCAAAAAAATGTACATTATCATTTGTTAAAAAAAAGAATGAGTAGTGACTGCCCAGACAATTTCTTTTTTTTTTTTTTTTTTACAAATACGACTTTTTGGTGTTGTAAATAAAGAAATCTTCAGCTCTTTTATTTGTTTTCTTTTACTAATGCAAGCAGCACTTTTCCATTTTTATATCTTTTTCCAAAACATTCTCACAACTTAAAAACACCTATACATTTAACAAATGTATCCTTTAAAATGATGTTTTTCTTTAAAAAAAAAAAAAAAACAGGATAAAACTCAAACCAACAGCATGTAAAATGTGCGTCTCTCTGTTCTGTTCAGTAGAGGGCAGTGCTGAGCAGCAGGAGGAGTCTGGGGCAAAGGTCATGGAATATATTCTTGAACAGTACAAACCCATTTAGGTCTACCCTGCTTCCCTTATGATTGCTTATCTCCACATTCTGATGAAAGGCGCTGCGTCGAGTCCTGTAACATTCATTTAAAACTCTCAGAATCAGCAAACAGATTCAATTTGAGCACAAAACCAGGAATACAGTTTGGTAATTTATTTTTTCCGTTTCCCCGCACTTGTGTTTGATGGGATTCTTGCTCTTTCCCTTCTGAAGGCAAAATAAAAAAATTAAAAAAAAAAAAAAAAGAGGAACGGCCAGCAAGATGAGCCGTTTACCCAAATCAGACATCTCAGTGTCCGCTTAGATCAAACCAGATGGAATGAGAGCTTTGCTGCAGGTCGTCCACGTTTCTCTGGTGAAGAAGTTCAAAGTCCTTGTTTTATTTCCTCACTTCAGTTCGACATGTTGGTATCTTTTTTTCCTGGTAGGCCTCGTCAGACCGCCGCCTCCTCCATCACCTCCATGACGATGGTCCTGGGGCCAGTCAGGATCAGGTTGCTGACGGTCCGGTAGTCGTGGCAGAGGACGTTCAGGCCGTTCACAGACACCACAAACTGACACACCTGGAGGCGGACAGGAGAGCTGCTTCAGGCTCTTTCTAAGGTGATTTCACAGTTTTAGTTACTCTTTAAAATGAAATTATCTTTAGCAGTTGTTTTTCCTAAATAATTAATTTAGCGAGAACACATTTAGCAGTTATGAATATACATAAAACACAGTGATGCTTCAGAGATAAAATGAGAACTGGAAAAAAAGAAACAGCGGACACACTGTGTTTAAAATGTCAGTTTTCTGTCGTGCAAGAAAAATACTCTTGAAAATATTCTTGGTTTTAGTTTTCTGACTTTACTGAACACTGCATAAAGATCACAGTGGCTCTTGTAAAAATAATTAACTAATATTTCTGGTATTGCTTAATAAAAATAGAAATAGACGTCCGAAACAATTGGTTGGTGGATTTTCTTCCTCCTTAGTTGCATGTTTTTGTTCGTCTGATGGTTATTTTGATTATACTTGAAACAGAAACAGTTTCAAATAGTTTCTGTGATTACACCAAAACGCAGTTTTGGTGTAATCACAGGAAGTTATTAGTTAGTGCAGCCAATAAAAAACTTCCTAAATTGACATTACATCAGAGGAATAATCTTTAATAACAGAACAACACTTTAAATCTTGTTAAACGGGTAGTAACCAGCAAAGCGTCTAACTGAGCAAACGTTTAGGCGCAGAGAGTCATTACTGTTATCAGCAGTAACGCTATAAAAGCACGACGGCCACAGCCCAAACACACTTCTTACACACATAAACCTTGAGACTCTTATCATTATTACCAAAGCTGCAACAGCGTGGCGAGTGATAATAACATGACCTCATGTTTGAACTCCTAGATGTTTAAAAACAACAATATTGTTAGATATCAGTTAAAAAAAAGAGATGAATGTAAAACTTTTTATTCTTATTTTGGCTGCCTTGTATATAACTAAACTAGACCCTAAGCTACAATGCTGATAGTCCAAAATGTCTAAGAGACTTGTAATAAGTTAAATAGATTAGTTTGTTCTGAGGATGACATGAGGTAAACATTTCATTCCTATGAGCTTCCTCCAGATTCAGCCCGATTCAATTCTTTATTTATCCCAAAGTGGGAGTAAATGTTGCCGTAATTTATATCACCCAAGTGTCTTCAAAAAGTTGCTAGGGACTCCATGATGACATTTCCTGGACGACAACCAATCTGCCTCATTCCCTTTTGATGCTCTTTTTTGTAAATCTCTGTCGGCTACGCATCAGAACAAATGTCTGAAAGTAAGAATGCAAGAGAATAATTGTCCAAACATACAATGTCTGAATCCCAAAAACGATGAACAAAAAGAACAAATAACCTAGCACAGCTGCTCCAACATGAGCTGTGCAATTCTAGAAATATTGGACAATGGATGGATACCGGAGTCATGTAATTACATTTCCTTAAGTGTGAGTAGAAAGCTGCATCCATCTCTAGTCGTCAAAGATGGATAATATTTCCCCAAAGCTAGCCATGAGTTAAAATGTAGTCAGTGCAAAACCTCCAGTCTCAGACCACTTACCACCAAATCATAAACGTCGGTTAATGGGGAAGAAACGACCAGTACACCTGAAAAGGATACAAGTGCATGCTGGTTCAGAGGAGCTTATGGTAGCATTTCACTGTAAACTAAACAAAAACAATTTTGGTTTTTCTGATAAATCAGAGTGAAGGAAAGAAACGGCTGGGAAGAAAGCGAGGTGATCAACCTCATATCTCTCTATGCATTATTAAGAAGCTTAAAAGAAACAAACAGTTTCCCTTAAGGCAATCCTCGAGGTTCTTCTTCACCGCTTCTTTCCACCAACCTGCTTAACTATCTCTGTACACATTCCTCTTGGACTCTCCCCCTGCTGCTCTTTTTCTTTCGAGCTCAGGGATTATTAGTGTTGGCAGGGGCCCAGCTGGACTCTACGGCTCGTTGTACCAAGAGAGTTAAAAATCTGTTTTACAGAGAGAAGGGAAAGCAAACCGTCCTCAATAAAACTAAACAGGCCGTAGATGCAGTGAGGCCTTGCCGAAAAAGAGATGATGCAGAAAAACAAAGAGTGTAAACAAAAATATATAAATGCTACAGTGCAAACTAACAGGAGCCCTCGGTTACTGAGAAAGGAGGGGGTTTACACCAGTTTCAGGTTTGTTTGGGCAAACGCTGCAGATTTGTGGACAGATGAAATAAAGACAAACCTACACTTACATAGAGATAGATGTGACATTCAATCTCAGGCTTTATGATGTTGCATGAAATGAAATCTAAAAAAACAAACAAAACAAAACCCAGTGTTTTCACTGAGCGGTCCAAACACAAATCTCTGCCAGCAGTGGGGATTCTGCTGAGCGCACTGGTTTCCTGGAGACCTTGAAGTGACAACAGGAATCCAGGAGAGTCTCAACAAGAGTGTTTACCAAAAATGTCAAACTGTAACTTTAACAGCCAGTCTGATCCCGGTCGTTCCCACAATCCAGCTCAATAAACCCAATCTGTGTTAAACAACGTGGCTCTTGCGTCGTCGCTAAAATTGTTTCAACTTGAACCGACAGCAGCAGCAATCTTGTGCAAATTTACAATCGGGACGCAGGCAACCCGTTCGGTACACACAGAAATCTCTTGCGAAACAGACTCATTGGGGAGAAAGACAAAGATGCAAACGTTGAGATCATAATCAGGCCGTTAAACATGAGGAAAGCCTGTTAATGATTTTACAACCTGCAGCATGAGCTCGCCCTCTCCTTTGACCTCCGGCCTGAGCTGCAGGGCCATCACTTTACAAGCTCAGACGTTTCTCTCTTAAGAATCATTACACATCACTAAAGTACTCAGGTGAGATGAAACTAGAGCAACCTTCAAGGAAATGCAAGCAAATAAACCCACCGGGCTGACAAGAAACTCAACTAGTCACTGTTGATGGAGTCGCTGGAACACAGTCGTTTATATTTATACTTTATATTTCCTAATGTTTACTATAACATACTAAATTATATGTCTGCAACTGAAACTATGTGACATGTTTCCTTTCACATGGCAGAAATACTGACTTGTAGAGAATAACTATACAATCACAACGGCGCTTCCAAAACGCAGCAGTGTAGAAACACATGTGGGATTCTTTTCAGCAGCGCGGCCTCTGTAACCTTCGTACAGAATATTTCCAAGGTAATAACAGCAACCAAAGAAGAACTGACAGTTTCCTCTTTCAGTGCTGCTACTAAGACTTCATCTTCAGCTCAGTTCAGCTCACATGATCTGATTTTTTCTTTTTCTTTTTTTTGTTCTTCTCTCGTCTTGTTCCTTCATTTTTCATGTCGAGGCGTAGGTCCCCACTGAATTCCCAGAATTCTTAGCTGTGGCTCTTGTTGACATATTTGCATGCCAGCTGAGGCAGCAGAGGAAACATTACCCTGTTTACATTTCATTTTTCTCGGTTTTCCCCTTGGACGTGGCAGGTTCTTTGCTGTCCTTGCCGTCTTCCCTTTGCGGACAGAAGCCACAGAAACGGTTCCTCTTTTCTATTCCTGTCTAACGCTTCTCCTAAAACATTTACTTCTTAAAGAACATTTAAGAAGCATTCAACGGAGACACTATTGGAGATTAGTCGTTAGAAAATTATGTTTTAGTTTTCCCAAGTGAAAAAAAAAAAGCTTTTCACTGTAGTGTCTTCGATAATAATTAGTGGATATTACAAAACGACTACCTTTATCTTTATGTGAGACAGAAATATTTCTCAGTGATTTGAGTACTTTTCTTTTAAATGCATTGAAACAATCAAATTGCTAAATGTCAGGAGACCGTCCATGTTGAAAAAATATAAATGCAGATTTCAGAGCACATTTGCTAGTTAAACCATAATGGCTAGATAGTTAATAAACAGTTTAAAAAGGCAACTTTTAAACTTTCTTAGCCAATTATACATCCACTTCTGCTTAGTGTGCAGATTCTCACCAATCTGTCCTCTGTGGTCATAGTTGAAACACATCTATCTATCTATCTATCTATCTATCTAGATCTTATTTTGATTTTGCAGTAAATGTTGGTTCTCTGTCGGGTCTAACCCCAGCGGATGTTTACCTTCATGCCAACTGCAGCAGCCGGTCCACCAGGATCCACCGCCTGGATGTGACAGGGTTTGCTTCCTCGCACCACGAAGCCCCAGCCCACAGCATCACCCACAATCTGAGAAATCAAAACCAAAGGGGAAATCTTTAAAATACATCTGCGTGCTTCTGATCGCAAATGATTTGTAAATAATTTCAATTGTCACATAAAGCAGGTAGTTAGTCATTTGCTAAATATCATCAGTGAATATTTGTCTTCTGGAGGCACACACACACACACACACACACACACACACCGAGGACCAAAGTGTTAAAAATGTAGAACTGCTCTGTTTGTGCGATCGTACAGTGAAAATCTTCTTTATAAAAGGCCCTCCTGGTGTCAGAAGCTCCTCTGGAGTCACTTGTCTTTTCACAACTGTTAAGAAACACCAAGACAAAACACATCGTTAGAGTGACAGTGAAACAAAATTATAGGCCTGAACATCATGGACATGCATGAGTGAAAACACCTTCTTGTAAACTGAACCAATGAGCGCATACACTGAAAACACAAATACAGAAATCATTCATCTGCTTAAAAACGTTTGTGTTTATCTGCGTGTAGAAAATGGGAGAATAGGTCACATACTGACAGCCAAAGGCACGTTACTTCCTAAAAGAGTGCTGCTGTCCCCTTCTTTGACTTCCACTAATCAATACACACATCCCTATAACTTTATATGCAAAAATATTTTGAATTGCATATTTTAATCTGAAAAGAGAGAGGAGCATGACAGGATGCCATATGTTTCAATGCATTTAGGTTATCAGATAATTTGCTTATTGCTGTAAAACAACAGACCAACAAACTGCTACAAATAAAAAAAGAAGTGCAGCTGACCAACCTTTAGATCATTTTTATACAAATGAAAAAGGATAAATGAAAAAAAATAATAATTTACTATAATCTGACATTTCTGCCTCCCATTTAAAGACCGGCACTGTGGAGGATCTTTGATCTGTCCAACTTCATAAACGGCTATGAATACATGTGACCATGAGCTCATCTCGCTGTGATCACTGATCATCTGCTATGAATGCTTGGATTTTCTGTCTCACTTTTACATCATAAGATACAAAATAATAAATGGTTTTGTGTGGAAACGTATGACCTTTAAAGTCCAAAAGCATTGCATTTAAGATATGAGACATTTCTTGTTTATTTAAGAAGCAACAGTATTTATAAAGTAATACAGTTGTGGAGGAGTCCAATGCAGGGTCAGATTATAGTACAATTTTTCAAACCAAAGCATATGTGTATTAATGACCTAGTCGAAGTCCAGATCTAAGTTCAATTAAGTATCAGTGACAATACTGAAGAAAAAAAAACAAACATACAAACTGACTGAGCTTTATTGCGTAAAAGATATGAAACATTTTGGAAACAGTACGACATTTTGCTTCACTTTATGTTGTTCCGTCACACAAAATACAGAACAGTTTTTGTTGGTAAAGTGACAAATGTCAGCAAATTAAAGGGTTTATGAGTGAGAGTGGGGTAAATGTTTTCAAAAGGCAGTGTTTGTTTTTTAGCTTTATACCGGTCATAATTGAGCAATGATTGATTCTTGACAACAAAATAACCTGATAAAACCTTGTTAGCAGAAAACTGAGCTGTAGAGACCTGGATTCTCCCATTTACACATGAACAAGATGGTATATTTTATATAAATCTGAGTGAACAGTGCAGCTGGTAGTGCCTCCAAGCTGACCTACCAGATTTGGGGTTGCAGAGGACCGGTGGGCTGCTGCTGAGCGTTGGGCTGCTGCTGTAATAGCCGCTGCTGCCACAGCTGCTGCTCATGCTGCTTCGTCGAACTCCAACCGCGACCTTGATCTCTTTAGTGGGACTCACTAACGCACAATTAAAAAGTCAAGAGGTGAAAAATGCAACTACATCACCTTGCCTGTGACATGCAGAAACATGAAAATTGTTCAAATTTAACTTTTATAAAGTAGGAATTAAACAAAAAATGACAATTGGTATTGTAATATAAAATGTAGAAATCACGGAAACCTTGTTTCTTAAAACAAGCTACCTTACTCCGTTTTGTTTTTTTGTTGTTTTTTTTTTTTTAAATAAAACACCAAAAATATTTTCCATCTAAAATTTCTTTGAGATGACAATAATACACCGAATCCAAAGCTGCTAGAAAAGGCCTTGACACCTTCAAACATTTGCAAAATTTGTTGTGGTTATAAAAACGGGAGAACTTGTTAGACACAGACCAGCTTATACTGCAATAGAGGGAGGAATCAAATTAGAAATTCCCAAGAAACGGCCTCTGAGGTCATGATGGGAGGCCAGTGACTGTGTGACTCTGCATAGCAACACAATCAGGACTCCTCCTCTGTTATCTTTCTAAACCATGGATACCAGTATTACCGAGTGGGAGTGTGCCTCTGTTCTGGTTTAAGAGTCAACAGGAGATAAGGCAAATTAGGTAAATATGTCACTGTTTACAACAGAATGATAGGGGTCATCGCCAACCTTTACAGCTAGATTGTTGTCTTGATATGGACACAAAAACATCTCCGCAGTTAAAATTATATGAATTTACAGCTTCCCAGAAAATGTGATGACATCTTCAATTGTCCACATATCCTCTCACAGGAGAGGTAAACCGGGTGTGCGTCAGGCTTGGCTGGCATTAGTTCTGCGGCTCACTGGGTACCTGAGAGGAAGCTGGTGTTGCCTCCGTCCGAGTGCTGCTTGCGGAGGCAGAAGGGGCTGTCGTGGCTCTCGGGGATGCCGCGGCCGCGTTCGTGGAGGAGCTCGATCAGCCGCCGCCGTCGCCGAAAGTTCATCCGGAACTGGTAGAGGAGCGGCCCGTCCACAAAGTGGTGCTTGTTCGTGACTGAAGCAAAGAAAAAGAGGAAAATGAATTTGTTTTTCACACATGTAAAAACAAGCAAAAAAAAAAAGAGTAAATTCATGAAGTGTGTGACCTTCCTCTGACGTTTATGTTAAAAAAACCCAGAAAAATATGATAAACATATTTTATTAGTCTGCTACCTAAGATGATCAGATAAGACCAGTTATCATTTGACACAGTTCAAGCAGTTAAACCACAGCTGCAAAGTACAACCAATGCAAACTTATGAAACCAAAACAGGAAACAAAACATTAAAAACAGAGAGCTGCTCAGGGACTTGAACACTGCTGCTGCCGAGTCTCATCTTTTTATGCTAATAATGAAAACATTTCCAGCTAATTCAGTACAGTTTCTGTAAAGAGTTAGACACGCAGTTTAAGGTTGGTGGTGTTGAATTTTGATTTATATTCTACCGTGTTATTGACTTGGACATTTCATGACATTCTTGTTCAGTCATGTTCCTGCATTTTCACAGATTTATCCTGTTTTCCACTTTGCTTCTTGGTAATGTTTTTATGGTTTCTGCGTCACGTATCATTAACGCCTATATGTACCGTACTCTGGTAGTACAGAGAAATTTGTTCTTAGACACAAAGTTCTTTCTGTCCAGAACATTTCACACTTCACAAGAACTTTATCTCCTTATTAACCTAAGCATACTCATTAACAAGAGGAAAGCAGATTGTTCTCTGCAATGTCAGCAGTCCTGTAATGTGTTTCCTTCAATTAATTAATTCAAATCCACTATTCAGACTATTTCATTATGTTAGGAAGTACTCTTTATTTGCAGCAGAAGAACTCTCCGTGATCCTACAGAGATCATCTACGCCTGATATTTAATATTGTGGTTTTAGTTTGGTCTTCATGGGGCTGAGATTGCACGGACCCGTGCCTCTCAGAGTGCGTTAGCATGTTTGTGCTGTGTCGCCACATTCTTCTGCCCTCCAGACACTCAGCTCTGCTAAGGAGCTGGAGGACAGGAAGTGAGTCACAGAAGAGAGAACAGATGGAGAAAAAGAAGGAGCAGAAATAACTTTTTCACATGATGCAGCATCGGCCCGTTGTGTGGCCCGGGCTATGCAGGCAGCCCAAATAATGCCCACAGGAAATGCAACATTTTTTTTTTCCTTTATCAAATCAGTTCCATTTTTAGATACCTAATAATGTATGAAAGAGCACAGCATTTGGCATACAGACAAGGAGAAATTAAATTATAAGTGGATAGTAATCTCTAAACATCAGCCAACGGCGCCTTCTAAATATTTAGAATTTAAATACAAACATTTTTATGAATCTTTGAATAAATGTTGCTGTATCGCATATCACTGAAGGTTCTTCAAAGAGTTGCTGTGTATAGTGATGGCTGTAGGCAGGAAGGATCTCCTGTAGCGGTCTCTATTACAACGGCTCTGAAGAAGCTTCTGACTTGAAGGACAGTTCGTTTTTCTATGACAGTCTCAGTAAGAAGATCGTCAGGGTTGTCAATTATTTTCTTGATTTTATGAAGAATTCTCCTTTGCATCGTCATCTCCAGAGGCTCCACACAGTATTTCCCAGAACAGAACCAGAACAGATCCAGCCTCCTTTATCAGGCTGTTGAGCTTTTTTAAGTCTGTGGCTCTGATGCTGCTGGCCCAACAGATGACGGTAGAAGAGACGACGCTCTCAGCAACAGACATACAGAAGATCTGCAGCGTCTTGGTGCAAACCTTGAATGAGTCTAAAATGGACAGAGCAAAAAGTAATGGCGAGAGTACAGGGCCCTGTGGGGCTCCTGTGCTGCTGACCACCTAGTTCCTTCAGTCTCACAAACTATGTTCTGTACAGAAGAGTGCTGCATACTGTGCACATCTGAAGCAAAAACTGGCTACAATTTATTCTTCAGCCCTTAAGAGAGCTGAAGTAGAGGAGTGTGATATGTTCTACTTCTGTATTTGTCAGAAGATTCATTTGAAAAGGAAAAAAAAACAGCACAGTATAGACACAGTATAGACTTTCAACATGAGAGAAAAATCACTGAGAGAAATGGGAGAAGAAAAGAAAATACATTTTAATCCAATCTTCCAATCAACAGTTATGTTCCCTGTTGTAACACAGTGTCTGATCTGATTAGATGCCATTTCCAAATCAAACTGTCTTTCATTTGATGAAATTGTTTGACAGAATGTGAAACATGAATGCTCTCACACAAACTGCACAAAAGGAATTTAAACCAGCTGGTGGACGAACAAGCTCTCAGCCACAGAAGCCACTGAAGAACTTTGGAAACTTTGCTCTCGAATCTAACAGAGACAGAAAGCCTAAAGGCCCACTGGCACACTTTGGGAAAAATGTTAAAACAGCAAAGTGTCTATTATACCAGTAAACAGGCTGATCCCCAGGCAGGTGAGGATGACTATAAACCAGAGAACAAATTTAAACGTGATCTTGGCTAATGTGAGATAAAATATGAGTCAGTGTCGACTAAGATGAGCAGAAGCGAAGTTTAGGAGAAGTTTCCATATTTCAAACTTTCAGATACCACCTAGAGACCTTCCTAACCTATTTTTTTATATATTCAGGTGTGATATTTTAATAAAATATAGAAAATAAACCTGCTAAAACCTTGCTATGAACAATGAATTTGTTCAAATAAGACAGACTGCCAAAGCTTTACATGCCAACAAGGTATTTTTCACAATCGTGATTAAATGAAAGTCTTTAAGAGTTGGTGATCCAGCATCTATAACAGTAACCAGTATCCAAGGGGGAAAAACATAGACTTTTAACCCCAGAGGTGAAGCTCTTACAGTCAGATGAAAAAGAAGACATCCCCCCTCCCAAAAAACCCCACCTTGCATTCAATTTAGTAATTTGAACCAGAAATCACCAAGTTAAGTATTGAAAGCCCAAAAAGTGGTAGATGAAACTCAATACACTCTAACACATACTAAACATTTTCTATCAGGTAGAGACCAGTGTTGTGTAGTTGCTAATCATCGCTGTTTGGGAGTGGCCGAGTTTCTGCTGGTTTATCACTGCGGCCCAGTCTCATGCAACCATTTCCTTAAAGGAGCGGTATTATGAGCCTGGAATTTTTTTCCAGGCACATAGTGTCCTTTTATAGTCCAATCAAGTAACTACGTTATCTCCAGTTGTTATAAAAATGTATATATAAAACATGACTTAATTTTGCAATTTGATGCCTTGAAACTGGCGTCTGTCTCTTTAAGAAGCTCCTGCTGTTTCCTTCACACCGCCTTAAGAACGTCATGTGAGACCAAGAATTTAGGCACCGCTGAATGTCCGCCATGAGAGAAGTACAAATTAAAGGATTTTTCAAATGCACATTAAAGGAATCGAATCAACGCTCTGGATATGTTTTATGATGAGGAAATAAAATTATAACATGGCCTACAGTTCAAACAAGTTGATTTCACATAATAAGATCATGTCAGGGTGAACATTACTTCTCCTCCTCACCATGCTGAATGATGCCATGTTCAAGCAGCCTCCGTCCCAGCTGCTCGGCCTCCTCTCTGGTGGGCATCTCCGCCTCCTGCAGCAGCCAGTCGATGAACTCTGAAGCAACCAGGGCGCGCTCAAATGCCATCCCTTCTTCTTCTCTGGTTTGTATCAGGTTGTTCTCAGTGTTCATCAGCCTGTATTAGGAAAAAACAGATAAAACCATGGCAAACTGTGAAATAACTAAGAAATACATCCACCAACCATAATGGCTACAATGCTATTATTACGAAGTTTTATTTCCATAGCAGAATATTAAGTGGAGAATTAAGAAGGTTTATTTAAACTCAACTAAACCAAGATAAGAAAAAATAAGCTAAGATGAAGTGCCTAAGAAGAAAAGTAAAAAAAAACTTAGGATAATGCAGTGCTAAAGATAGGCTAAGCTAAATTAAGACTAAATATGCCAAAATACACAATACTAGAGAAAAATACAGCAATTTAGGATAATCCAAGATGTAAGCCAAATAAAATAAATTAGGTCATGTTAAGGTAAGATAAGAAAAGAAAAGCTAAATTACAGGAGGGAAAACTAATTAAAAATGTACTAAAATAAACAACATTAAATTTAACTAAACAATCAAAGAAAAGGCTAAGAAGAATAAGGGGGAAATAAGCTAAACAGAAGTAAAATAAGCCAAGCTAAAAGAAGCTAAAACTAAGCTAAAAGAGATGAAAACGATAAAGACTTGAAGAATTAAGATAAACTAAACTAAATTTGGTTAAACTGAGACACATCAAGTCTCATTATAACAAGAAAAAAGAAGTTCAGTAAGCAAAGATTAAGAAAAACTCAGCTTAGCTAAAAGAACCTAAAATATAATTCATTTGCTTTCTAGAACCTCTGGATTCAAAACTATCCCTTCCCACGTTGTAGCGTTCATGGTTCAAGGAGAGCCAGAGGCTTTCCCACCTCAGCAGGGACACAGACAGGTTTCAGCTGAAATGCATGATAACAATCACTCCACTGCTCCGAGGGCTAAAAACCACATTTCTGTCATAACTTTCAAGGAACATGACAAAAAAAGGGTGAAGGCGATGCTAAAACTTATACACCTGCTAAATTAAAAAGGACTTTAGCAGTTGGTATAAAACACTTGCTCAAAAATAAATAAAATACAATTCAAACATTTTCCTGCTGGTGCGTACTTTAGATAATTACCAACTTACTTTTGTAAGTCAATTAAATCAGCTTGAAGTAGAAGTGTGTGTTCTGAGTTGAACTGTGTGACACACGGAGAACTAAAAATAAAGTGACACACACACCTATGAAGACCAGAATGTCTGAATCTTTTCTCCTGCTGCTGTTTAGCAAGTACACCCATAAACTAATCATCTACCTGCTTAAATTATATAAGACATGCAAGTCATTGCAGACACATTGCACTTTCGTTGCATCATTTGCACGTGTCAAAACATGTCCTAGTGAGAAACTGTAGCATTAAACTTTCTGCCTCTCTGCCTCTCTGCCTGTTGGCTATTATTTGCAGAGTCAAAGTAAATTTCTGCAACCGGTTTTAGCTCCTAAATATTAATTGCTGGATAAACATGTATACACCTGCTCTGGCTGCAGGGAACAAAAAGCCCCCAGCAACTAGTGACCAGTTAAGAGAGGTCCAGCAGACTAGAATAACCAGTGCTTTCTGCCTGTGTGACGACTGAACAGGTAAAGTGTAAAAGACATTGCATGTTTCACAGCCGGAGATGAAAAGCAACAAACACAGAGCCAAAACATGACCAAACAAAAGAAATTAAAGTGAACTTTGAATGAGTTTGCCAACTTTCCATTTCCTGTTCTCAAAATTGAGTGATTTATCTGCCATTTGTCGGGGCATTTAAGAGAAGTAGAAGCAATTTTTTATAACCCAGCAGAAAATATTTTTATTTTCCACAAGACAGATGGTCGCGGGTATGGGGGCATTTTGCACTAATCAGTAAATGCAGAAAGCTAGTTTAACTTAGGGAAAGGACTTAAATTTAGTCAAAGGAGGCCAACTTCTGTGTTGTTGGTTAGGCAGAGTGGGATCCTAATGAATCCAATTTGAACCAAATGAAACCGTACTCAGGTGCATTAACAAGCCTTCATTCTGCAAAAAGCTTCAAATTACCACAGGCACTTTATTCTGTCCTCTTAGTTTGGCTCGATCCACTGTGTAATGACAGTTCAGAGAAAGCCAGAGGCCCTGATGACGACGACAGACCAATGCCCTCATTACACATCGCCCGGGGACACAATTTATCTGCCAGATTTGGACCAGAGCTGCGAAAATAAAGTAGAGCTGGAAGCATTCAGGGATTAACATGTGGAGTGAAATTAGTACTTTTAAACTCAATGCAACAAAGATTGTTTTTCCCAAAGTCAAAACACAAATGTCGATTCATTATTACCATGGAACTTGAAAGATTGAATGCTGTTTGATCCACATCAACCTTTAAACTCAACAGACTGTTATGCTAGCTCAAATGCATTAGCTCAAAGTACTGCACTTTGTACTTAAATAGAAACTTAAGCAATGCAATGCATTATTCATCTCCTGAGACCTTAAATATTGTGCAAATACTGTGTTTGAACGGAAAACGATAACAGAAAATGGGACACTTGGGCAACTCTGGCCTGCAGACACTCTTAGCTATTCATTCGACAACGCTCACTCCAACGCACAACGACAACTCTACAGCCATGCAAAAACTTTCAACAATGTCGGTGTCATGTTCAGGGTCACTGAGTGGGCGAGTGAGAGCTTTTAAAAGTTAAATATAAGGAGAAGGTCTCTTTAAGGGCTTGGTGGTAGAAGCAAATTCTTAACATACCTGATTTTGATGCAGAATTTAATTGGACTAAATCAAGTTCTTTCTCTGAATAAATGTTTTTTTTTGTTTGTTTTTTTTTTGTTTTTAAAGCTCAATTTACAAGATTTCCACCTTAAAAGCAAATACTTACACAGCCTCAATACAAAGTACAGACTGACTTGTAAAAACCAAGAAACAGAAAACTTGGATTGATTAATGAAAGTTACAGTTATGTCGTTAAATCAGATATATCTATTTTAATTAGGTTTTACTGTTAGATGTTGAGGAAAGGTTGAGTCAAAGCAGTTATGTAAGGAGCTATGTTTCTTTGTTTCTCATTTTCTCCTATTGAACGTCTTTTGTTCTTACAAAGTTTAGTCCAACTTGCAACCTTCCACTGTCCCGTACCACGCCACAAAATGCTTCTATTTACAGGAAGAGATCCAGATAAAGCTGCCAAACTAACCAAATTTGTGCAAACTTGACCCTTTTAAGAATAAGTGAATTACGAAATGCTTGATTATGTTCTACAAATATGTTCACAGAACTTTGACTCTTTCTATACTTTTAGGATGTAGTTTCTACCCATGATAATCAGTCATTTTAAGAACAAACAGCCTCCATTTGCAGTGGAAAATATATGCAACCATCAGTGGAGCATGTCAGTGAGTGTGGTTCACCGAGGTTAGCAAAGTCTCTGACTAAATTGCAGCTAAAGGAATGTATTTTTTTTTCTGATGTCGTTTTTAGCCTTCACAACCAACAAACGACAATCCTCGCTATGGCAAATTATCTTAGCAAGGGCTGTTCAAGTAAAGTGGACACATGTGGATCTTCGTAAGTGACGAAACGGTTGCTTCATGATCACACGTGGCCAAAATGTGGCATGCAAGGCTGGACACATTTATTTTGTCACCACGTTACATAACATGGATGTCCATACCAAAAACAGAAAAAAAGGAAAGAAAAAAAGGACCCAAAGATATAATGAAGAACGAAACCAGTGTGTTGAGAAAAAATACTCATAGTCCTCCCCACAAGATTTAGAAACTGCTGGCTGTCCAAACCAGATCTGTCTGCTGCCTGTGTTTGGAGTCTATTTATGTTGTTTTGATATTTGACAGAATAAGAAATAAATGTATTTATGAGGACGACTGTTTTTGTTCCAGTGAGAAAGCGTCGTGGAAATGGTACGAAACATAGCAAACTGTATGCTCACGTACATTGCATGCAGCAGGGTTTTTGCAGCTGCAGAAAAATTTCAATGCCGTCTTACTAAAAAAACCGAAGTAGCTCACAGGATTAAAATGGGTGTCAAACAAGACTGAATCACCGTGTTCGTGTGTTTCGTTGATCTCGTTGCTCTCGTTGCTCTCGTTGCTCTCGTTTGGTTTGTTGTTATAATAAATGAAATGATTCTGATCTGTTTACATAAACAAACAAAAGTTTGACTTGTGAAAAAGAAAAAACTAAACTTTCCACAGGAAAAAAAAAACTAAGTGGTTCATTCAAGCTGCAAGAAGTCAAGCGAGAGCAAGACTTCATGAGGCTTTGCTGTATGTTTGACATGTTGGCAGTCTTCTTCAAGATCTCAGAGTCAAAATAGAGCTCTGCTTTCTCCTGGGAAAACAGTGAGAGACAACTGCAAACAACAGGAAGTAGGAAAACCCACATCACCTAAATGACAAGCAAGTGTACAAACTGAAAGCTTTTTCTCCATGTCTACCAATGCTTTAATTGTAGCCTTAGAGTAAATTGAGTTACCAAACAAGCGTGTAAATGAGTGCGAGGGTGGTGAGCTGCACCATGGCAATTGCATAAACATGTAGCTTTAAGAGCGGACTTGACAGCTGTGTCCTCTTCCACTATTTCATTCTCTTACGCAATAGTGGAGTGTATGGGTGTGAACATGTGTGTGCGTATTCCCAGAGACGCTAAAATAATAATAATAATAAAAAACAGGTCTGTGATTAAAAGTGTGTGCCACTTCAGCTAGAGGCACAAAAACACAGCTTGCTTGTATTCCTGAGCACGAATGCGCTCGCAGCGATTTCCAAAATCAAAGATGTGCAGTAGATACAAAGTTGATGACAAGCAGAGTCGTCCGTGTTTACGGTGTTCTGTAAACAAAGCTCTTGCACGGACAAAACCAGTGCATCATCGCTCGGTAAAGATGCATCCAGTCATTTCTGCCGCCCCCCCTCCCCCCCAACACTCCTTTCACTCTCCCCAAATTTGCAGGCTTTTATCTCGGCCAAGCTGAACTCTGTGTCCTAATTTAATGAAAACCATTTACAACGAAACTAATTCTCAGAAAAACATGAATGATGCTTTTTCTTCCTGATGTAGTCAATCAGCAGAGCATCAACAACAGTAGGGTAGATGAACAAAAGAGGAAAAAAAAACAAAAAACGGGAGCGGTATGAGTGGAGTGGTCATTCACTATTCATCAGGCCATCTTCAACATTTGATGTTTTAATAAGAAATGTCTGAGTACAAGTCCAAGTATCACACTGGGGAAACAATCACAATATCTTTTAAGTGACAACTTTAGGGAGTCACAAAATGTAACTCTTGGCTGTTTCCTCTACTGTCTGTGATATATACTTACATTTCTCTAAATTAATGAGCGTTAGAGTGTATTTGTTTTGCAAATCATCTTTTCAGCTGTTTAAAAGATGAAAGACGTGCCCAATGAGAGGAAGACTGTAATGGCTGCTTCAGTTTCCTGTTTGTCTGGGTCATTTAGCTTAGCTTAGATTCAAAAGCTCTTTATGTAGGAGAAAGCTGTGCAGAAAGCAGCAGAAACACGAACCATAAGTTTAGCAACCTTCAAAGCAAAGTCTTTGAAGCACACAAACAAGTTTTTGCTTCACACAATTAACATTTTGTTTGCTGATCTCATCCAGGCTGGTACCTGTTACAACACCTGACCAAGACTGAAAGTGTTGAATATTGATTGCTGATAATCAGATGATGCAAAATTTCGATCTTGGTTCTACCACGTCAGTCACCCGTATTTATGCAATCACTGATAGGAAATTGTTTGTTAAATATTTCCTGTTTGAGTAAATAAAAACTCAGACAAATTGGATCATTCCCCCTGTTTTCAATCTTTAAATTAGTCTGAGTTCCGAAAAGCTCACTTACTGCATACTATGAGGCAGCTATTGATTGTTTTTTCCCTAAACTCTGTCAATAACTAAAATAACAGTGTGTTTTCTCATCAAATGCAGTATCATTTCAGGTGAAATGCATGCTAAACAGACTAAAGCCATGTGTAGAGTATCCCTTCGTTTTATCATTTAACAGCACCAGACACGGTTGCATTAGCATGTGCACGTGTTCTCATGTGTGTCCATACTTTTCATATAGCCTCTGTCCCCTCATGAAGACCTTGGCTTCGCTGTCCAATGGGAATGTGCCGTCGTCCTTTCTGAAGCGGTACAAGAGCTTCATGTCTTTGAACTCCCGGTGCTCGTCACACACTGAAAGCACACAAAGGGGAAAAAAAATTAAAGTTAGAGTCTGAACATCTTACTGGCAAAAAACTTAAGAAGTAGAGGAGTGTCTGAATCACGGCATCTCTGTGATTCAGGAGTAGGGGAAGAACAAGGCAGCTGTAGTTGGACTGAAGAGGTTACTGTTCTGGTCTGTCTTGGTGAAGATGGATCTGAGCCAAACAATCTTGACTTACAAGTCAAGATCCTCACCTATGCTCAAAAGAAATCGATCAGGACCTAAAAATAATATATATGTATTGAGATAACCCAATATACGTCAGAGAGCCAGTAGGTAGGTAGATACCTGCATAACTCCATGATGCTCATGCAAGATGACTTTGTGTGATCACTTATAAAAACATTTCCTAAAAGGTTGATATAAAACTGTTCTATTCCTGTCCGTCTCTGTAGTTTAGTCAAATGTAAAGCAGATAGAGGAGCCACTGCTTTTAAGCCAAGTTGACTGAGAAAACATGGAGAATCATCCATTAGGACACACTGCTTGTTCCCAGAAAATGTCAAGTGAGGCCCTCACTATGAAAAGACACACTAGCCATTAATACCCAACACTAACTCACCCAACCTTTCTCTGGGATGCAAAACATTTTAGCCTCACCGTGGTGAACAATGCTCTGGTCCAAGAGTTTCTGCATGATCTTAATGGCCGTGTCCCGGTCTGAGGCTTCCTTATGTTCGATTAGCCAATCGATGAGCTCCTTGGCGACAAAGCAGTTCGGGTAGGTTCGGAGGTGGTGCCTCCGGTCCTTGATCACCTTCCCCTCATGGAGCCGCAGCCTGGAGACAAACGAGCAGCAGAGGAAATGTGATTGACGCTCGATTCCTAGAAAGTAAGACAAGAATCTTTCCGCTCTATTTTTAACAGTTGGTAATTTATGATTTTGTTCTGACAGGCAGTTAAATCATGAGCTGGAGAACCTTATCTCTGATCTCTGGACATCATTACATTTCCTGTTTGGGTTGAGCAGCATTATGGTCACTAAATCCAACATCTCTATCAGAGCAAACAGAGAGTTAGTTGAAGAATAACCTGAACTCTAAAACCGTCATAACATTTGGCAGAGCACGTGTCTTTTCTGGGCTCAAGGTGGACGTATGGAGCTGAAACACAGTTTTCAGGGAACTACAATGCATCTGTTTCAATATTAAAAAATCATGACCTCATCATGCTTCAGCAGCTGCCCTAGATTCCGGTTTCCCACCATCTCCGTGTCCTCTACCTGAACTGGAGTGTTGTGAATCGGCTTTAGCCAGGCTTCCTGCAGCTTGCTCGATCCTCTCCATGCTGAGTCTGTGTGCAGCTGGCCAGCATCGCTCTGAATTAGCAATGACAGCCGGCCTAACTGTTCCGCCAAATCTGCATGATGGGCAAACAAACGTGGCTAACAATTCACAGACCTCAGATCTAATCTGCTGTTTCATCGACGTTTCTTTCCACAACTTCTCAAAGGTTCTGACTGTTATCCTTGAAAAATAACCTCCTCTAAAGCTGGAATGTGAATTATTAAAGTTGGAAGTTTATCAGCACATCAGTGAATGACTTACTGACTACTAGTATCTTGATTTCTAATCTAATTGCTCTCAATGCTCCACAATGCATTTTGCGATGGCGCTACAATGTCCCTATTCATGAAAGAACGAGCTGGTCACAAGACTTCCTGGATCCGCTGTATGTCTCTGTAGGCCCTGATAACTTTCCTTAGGCCAACATGAGTAAGAGATGTATGTGCTGATATAAAAGCAGTAATCCTATCAGCCACTTCACTGTTATCAGTTCAGGAACTGAGAGGCATGTGTTGCAAGAGACAAAAAAAAATGGACAAATAAAGGTGAGGACTCCGCAAACTCCTCGTTTCTAATAGAAGCAGTTTCACAGCCATGTCTAATTCCTCACGATTTCTTGAAATACTTCAAACTAAGCTACACAGTCAAGCTAAGCTCACATTGAGCATCCAGCTGTCTAGTGTTTGCTTGTGTTGTACAGTATAACAAAAGCTGCTTCATTCAACCAGAACAGAGCTCTGAGCTTCATGCAGAGATCAGCATTTTACCACGCTCACCGTAACAAAACAACATGATTGTACTGAGCAGGTAAAACTTTTACCCCTGACACGAGTAACAGGATGTTAACATCTGCTTATTTGGATTTATAGGCACATTTAACGGGGGGGAATTATAATTGAATATCAATCATATTCACACTTTAAAGACAGTGAGAAATGTATTTTAAGCACATCTATTTAGTTAGGTGGGGAGATCATACTTTAAAATTTTAGTTTTTAGCAGGATCAAAATTAATACTATCCATATTAATGGAACTGAAGCCTTTTTAAATGTATATTTTATTTTTCTAAAGTTGATCTAAGTTTCTGGGAAATTACTGCAGTTAAACACGATGAGTAGGATGGTAAGGGAGGTAACACAAAATATCACCAGAGTTAGAGAATTACACAAAAGAATTACACAAAAGAAAACCATAAATTGTTAAGTCTTTGCATTGATAATAGAAAAAACATAACAATTCTGTTCTACCATCACAAACAAAAACATGTTGAACTCTATTAAGCGAACTGGAGTCATGTGCCTTGTTAGGATGAGAGCAATGAAGCCTTCCAGCAACAAACACTACAGACCCACCTGTATGATCACGAAAGCACTTTATGTCCACTGTTATGTATGGTAGAGGCTCTGTGATGCTGTGGGCTTGCTTCTTTTCTGAGTTCACTTGAAGTCTTGTAGAGTACATGGCATCTTATGTGGATTATTTAATATTAAAATCTACTGAACTCATTCTATTAGAGACGCAATCAGCCACAAATCTGAATCTGGCAATTTGCCTTTGATTGACTAGAAAATCATCAGCTAGCAGCATTTGATGCATTTTTTTTAGTTTAACCTAAAACTCCTAAACAATATAGGAGCATGAGATACATAAATTGGGGAAGATTGTGTAACTCCTAAAGAATCAGCAGCATGTCATTTCCATGTGTTATAGTCCTTAAAAAATATAAATTTTAAACATTTTAAGTGACAGGTGACATCTCAAAGAAAATTAATGATCACTGCTTCTCTCAGCAGCATACTGATTCAAAATAAATTACTATAAAAAGACACAAAATTGCTCTCTGTATGATCTAGTCTTACTATATGTCAATGGAGAAAACAAATGGCTGTCCTGTTGGCAAGAGCGCATTGTAAAGATGGATTGTTTCTCACCTCTGAAAACAAACAAACAAATTCTAGATTATTATTATTTTTGTATGTGCAAGATAACTTGTGCAAAAAAGATTTTAGTTTTGTTTTTTTTTCTAAATCTTTGCCAAATGTGCCAGTATGGGCCAATGTATATGATTTAGGTGAGGGATGAGGCAGTCCATTAAAGATAAGATGGAGTGGGTCAAGGTCTAAGTTTATTTTTAAAGAGGGGCGAACAAGATCTTACACAGGCAGATGGAAACACGCAGTATGTCACGTCAAGCGTCCAGAACAGGGACCGCTATCCCAAGCAGCTCTGCATTCACTGACACCAGTGATGCAGCCAACTGGCAGCGTTAGCATACAGCTGTGCCAGAAATCCTAACACACACAAACACATGCATGCTGCACACAACATACAGTTATAAACACAAAAACTCTCTGTGGAGCAAAAGAAGAGCACACTGCATTCACCTCGTAGAATGTGCAACAAAAACAAAAAAAGAAGGAAGAAAAAAGAAAACTATAAATCTCTGCAAGATTATGCAACTCCTTAAGTGGGTGCCTCTGCAGAAAAAAAAAAAAATAATAATAACACCACTTACACCCAGTTGGATAAAAACTTTTCACCAGCATGCCCGTTTCCTTTTAGTTCAACTGGGGGGCTGAAATTCCAGGCATTGGTGCCATGCTTCCCTACTGAGCCTCCATTCATCGGCTGAGGTCATGAGGCAGTGAAAGCCAGGGTTCTGGAGCCTCTCTTTATATACAGTAGGCCTGAGGTTTCAGACTGTCAACAACTCCACCAGGGGAACTCCTATATGATTCACCGACAGCGGCGATAGGCAGGGATTATGGTATGTTACTGCAGCTCATAGGGAACTGTATCAGTGGAGCAACCAAAAAAAAAAAAAAAAGGAGGGAGTTATGCAACCCTGCAAAAGGCAGCAATTACAAAGCTAAGATTTCTATGGGTGTGCATGTATGGATGTCTTTGTTTGACTCAGCATGCTGCAGTAATGCTGCTCAATCTGGCTGTAGTTGCAGGGAACATTATATAAAACATGTTTACCACAGCAGAGTGTCTTGTTCTGTCATGCCTTTATTTTTATTTTTTTTCTTAAGTCTCTTTCCAGGGGAATGCAGGAGGAGATAAGGACCTAAATTATTTGCGACGGTTCAAATGTGCTTAGGATTCACGCTGGACGTACAAGTAGAGATTAATACACAAGTGTGTGTTGTTGGGGCAGGGCTGAGAGACCCACCTCAGCTGCTCTCCGGTGACAAGCACCTCAGCCAGCCGCTCCAGTTCGGCTGCCTTCTTCTGCATGGTGGTCCCGATCCGGTCCATCGCTCTGCTGAAAACAAAAGGCGCCAGACCACAATAACATTGGTGTTAATCGAAGACAAGTCCGCTGTCTCTGTCGGGACTGCTGCGAGGAAGAAATGTTGGCAAAGCTGAAAATTAAATGTCCGTCAGAGGCGTTTCAACTTGCATTAAGAAAGTAACAAAGACATGCCTTCTGATGACGGACGCTGCAGTCTCACCTGGGGTTCTACTTACCCTTCAAGCACCATGGAGAGCGAATTGATGAGATTATTCCTCGAGTAAATTTTTGAAATGATAATTATTCCATGCGAGGAGAAAACTGGGAGTCACAGCAGCAGCAGAAGCAGCCCCATCAACAAACATCCACGTTTAACCTCAGAAAGCATCCTCCCCAATAATAATAATAATAATAATAATAATAATAATAATAATAATAATAATAATAATAAAAAAATATCAGCTCATTAATGAATGCACTTCTGCACCGCACCTTAACAGCTTCTCTTCTAAATTTCAATCTGAGTTCTTTGGACGCAGTGCAACTGGAACAACTCTGTCCTTTCAGAGCGGCTGTCTGAGCGCGGTCTGTTACTGACACTGTCACACCACAAGGCGTGAGCACACGCTTTCCTCCCCGCACAGCGCGCACAAAGCCCCCGCATTGGGAGGACTCTGCTGGCGTCACGGGGGGAGTTAACCGGAGAGGGCGGGGTCAACTGAGGGTGAGCTCCATTCCGACACCGTGTGGGTATAACAGGTTGGTGGGGCTTGGACAAAAGTCATGTCGCTTTTAGGAAGTTTTCAAATTAAACAAACCAAATAAAATAAAATAAAAGTTCTTTTTTCAAACTGTTTTTTTATGTTGAGCTGATCGTTGGATGTAACTCATATTCCACACTAAGATAAATGGCATATTTATTCCTTTGCCACAAATAATAATAATAATAATAATAATAATAATAATAATAATAATAATAATAATTATTATTATTATTATTATTATTATTATTATTATTATTATTATTATTATTATTATTATTATTATGTATTTTTTGAATAACCATTTTATTGTTGCATATTTGATGATGATTCGACCACTGACTATTTTATTTGTTTATTTATTTATTTACTTGACTTTTTCTTGTTTTCTCTGATTCCATTCAGTTCTTTGTAAGCACTTCTTTAAGAAAAAATATAAATATATGCATCTATATTATTTAAAACACAATTGTTTTATTTAGGCACAACGCAAATCCGCACTGGATTTGAGCATACTGGTCATGCTCAAAGCAACAACTGTTAAGTAACAACTTCGGAGTTATTACTTAACACAACTTAGTTGTTTCTTAACAGGAACGACTATAAGTAGTTCCTCCATTTAAATAATGTGTCACACGCCACAGAAATATCCGATCATTTCATCCAGTTCATTTTATTTGAGTTATATTCACCTAAAAAAAGAGAACAACAAAATGCATGGTTTGCACAATATAGCAGAACATGCAGAGACTTGCCTTTTGTCTAAAACAAAAATAAATAAATAAAAAAATCTGCTGACTGCTACTGTACCTGAACACACAGAGCCATAAAATGGAAAGCTTGTATGATCAACCTTTCAAACTTTACATTCACACACAAAGAATTAAAGCAAGTGCAGTGTTTGATTTTAGAGTGTAACATTTCTGTGCTCGTGAACAGAAGGTTTCCACTCTGTAAGGATGACGTCATCCGAGTTTTCATTATTATTGGCTGCGTTCATTCCAGTCAACTTGCACACGTGTTTAATCTGCAGAGTAACCTTCAATTTTGATCATCTTCACCGATTTCAAGCAGAAATGTATTAACTGAAACAAATGTGAAATAGTGAGGAATGTATTAAAATATATTGCTGATATATGCTCTTCAAACATATTTGTCAAATGCTTCATCTACCGCAGCTGTTGGTCTGTAGGTGGATCCGTCGTCTACCAATCAGATCATTGTTAGTTTGAGGATATTCAGCAGCTCCTCCAGGGATTAAACTGAAGAGCTACATTGTTGCCTCAGCGCTGTCTGGTGACCTGCAAATCAAATACTTAAGAGACGTTTTTAGGTCCTTCTCTGAGTCATGTAAAGATACACAACATCCTGGGTGTTGAAATTGCCAAATTAATTTACCTAGTATTCCCTCGGAGACAGAGAGAGAAGCCTGTTGAAAAGAAGTTTGTTTCAAAGCATTTAAAGGGTTTTGAGAAAGGATTTTGACCACACTGGTGTAATTGCATAACCCCAATTTATAGGCGGTGTCGTGGTGGACCTACACAAAGTACCCTGAAATAAAGACGCAGAAGGAAAAGTATGCATGACTTTGAAAATTCCTTTACCAGTAAAAATCTGAAAATTTCTTGCATTAGTATTAGACCCCAACAACCCCCAAGCCTAGCTTTTCAAGTGTTTGTACCTGAGCTATACATTATTTCAGTTCTCCTTGAGTTACAATGGGAACCATCCATTTAGGTGGACGGCCACAACTTCGTAGGTTTGCGGTTGTGGCATTTACTTTCCGTCTTCATGTGGAATATGCTCATTTTTATTGATCATGTAAAATCCATTTAAAATACAGCAGTCTGTGGTAGTGTTGTTCAGTGTTAATGCTTTTTATTAAGGCTAATTGTACAACAGTTTTGCTCTTACACAATTTTTTTTTCCTTTGCATGGATAAAATTTTGTAATCGTGTCAGGCATCAGACCTTGGACTTGAAGCCTTGAAAAGTTACCAACAAGTACATTTTAACAACAAGTGCTTTGCTCAACCTTAACATTTGTTTGTTGTTTGTCTCCTGCTGGGAAAGTTGTGCTCTCAGCTAAATTACAGCATCCCAGAGAGAGGTTGGCGCTGCAGGCAGGAGTTTTATTTGTTAACCACTCATTGTGTTTCCTGTGTGCTGCTGCTCTTTGGGTTTTGTCACTCAGCATGAATCATGTTCAAGAAGTACACGTCTTCTATCTTGAAAATATGAAGTTCGCAAGCTTTAGAAAAATTGCATCCTACTGTTTTCTATGGTGCAGAGTGATGTAATTTTCCACCTTCATCTTTCCTGGTCTCTGCTTTTAGCGTTTGAGCTTGTAGCAGGATTGAAGCTTTGTATAACTGAAGCATTGCAGGCTATTGCACAAATGTTTAACAACCTGCAGAGCCTGTTCCCTACAACCACAGATTTCTCCAGAAGATTATTAATTTCAGTTTGTATTGTGCATATATCTCATAAGTTGATGAAACAAAATATAAATTTATTTATAGACTTTCTTTTCTTCAGGTATAAATAAAGGGAGTTAAAATTTGTATTCCATGCAGGTATTAGGTTGCATGGTGGTACAGCTGGATTTGCCATGACCTTGCTGCCAGAAGGTCATAGCAAGGTCATAGCTATGTTTGAATCCTGACCTTGGTTCCTACATGCATAAAGTTTACAAGTTCTCTCTCTGAGTACTCCAACTTCATCTTACAATCCAAAAGACATGACTGTAAGGTTAACTTGCTACTCCAAAATTGCCCGTGTGAGTGTGTGTGTGTCCATGTATTTTTTTTTAATCTGCCATTTAGAGAGCTCGTTTTAATTCTTCCACATAATACTTTTTTATGCTTTTAAGCATGTCTAAAATACATGAAATAAGTAAAAAAAAAAATGAAAAGTTTAAACAAATACAAAAAATTCACCTGTTAGTTTTCTTTTGTATTCTACACTTTCTTTAAAAAAGCACCGTGTAAAGTGGAATGAACGTGAACTGTGCATTAAAATACTAAATGCAACAGTGAATCGCACTTTAGTTCATGTTAAATCAAAGAAGGAAGTTTAGATGTGTTCTTGGTGCCATCTAGTGGCCTATAGCATGAACTGGCTGTGCATGAAAATTGAAGATAAACTCAGAGGGAAACTGACTTCAGTGCAAAAGTTAAAAGCTTCACCAGCTGTGATGGGAGAAAGTCTGAAACAACGACTGTCACCCCAGTTCTTCAACAGTCAAAGCTTACGGGGAGAGCGGCAACCTCTCATCAAACCTCAACGAGAGTTTGACTCCACGGTCAAATTGAAGAACGCTTTCTGTCTTTTTGCCCATCAGACAAGACGCTACGGACGACACCAAACACCTCACATAACCACAAACACACAATTTACACACGTCCATCAGAATTTGGGACTGAACTTTAAGGAGATGTTCACAGCCGACAAAGCTTGAAAAGTTAAGCTATGAAGAATGAAGTAAAGCTGCAGCCAGACAGAGACTTCAGGTCAGACTCTCTGCTGTGATTTTAGCCAAAGGTGTATCTAACAAACACTGATTTGGAGGGGGTGCATATTTATGCAGTCACTTATTTTAAGCTAAATACTTTTCCTTACTCGTCATTATTCTGTAAAAAAACAATTCCCACTTGAAGGGTTTCTTGTAATTTTTTTTTTATGAAAAAGGCACATTTTGTTGATATGTAAAAACATCATTGAAGGGGGTGAATAGGTTTTAAACTGTAATGGCTTCAGCAGAGTGACTTGCAATGTTAAAATCATAATATTACATCAATGCAATGCAATGCAATGTAATGCATGTAATGTAAGTGGTGAAGCTCATGTGGTATCTGCAAGAAACCAACCCCAGCCCTGAGAGCAGACTGAGAATCTCTTTACTGCAGGAAAGATTCTTCAGTCCTTTAGGTGAGGATCAGAGATTTCTTCTCTGAATAATTTAGATCTCAAAAATGTCAGCACTACGGGAGGCTTTCGATGTATGTACATGGCGGGAAAGGAGAGGGGACTGATGATAAATGCTGCCATCATTTCTTCATCAGGTCAGAGCTGAAACGTGATTTTAAAGGAAAGAGAAAAACACGCAGAAACAAAAGCAGGTCTATTAAAATTTATTAAATATCTTTACAATAATCACACAGCTCAGAGTCTCTGCTTTGCTCTTCATCTTTTCCAACAGCTGGTTTAGACATGAAGGTTTTAAAAGACGAGCAACAAAAGTGTTAAGTTAGTAAAGTCAAATTATGGACAATAAAACGTATGAAGACAAAACTATTTACTCTGCAAACCCAGCAAGCACGCATGTAGGATCAGGCTGTAGGCTGTGCAGAAGCTCAACATATTCCTTATCGGTCTTATATAATCAAGCCATATTGTATCAAAACAAAAGAGGAAAAACAGGCCAGAATATATGTATCTTAAAAAAATAAATACTAAGTTCTGCAAACCTAATGTTATATAGGAAATCGAAGAAAAGCAATTAGTATTTACAATTGTGAGGGAAACGCATAAAAATAGAGGCAGCAGGTATTTTAGAGATTCATTTTTCAGATTTAGGAAGAGAAGAGGATGTGCATCGATGTGAATTAAAAAGCCCTTCGAAGAGACTGGAGGTTAACGACCTTATCTGACACTAATGTGAGGAGGTTGTCTAGGAGTCGCTTGGTTTGCACATTATTTACATCAAGAAAATTAAAACTTTTGTTCTGCCAAGCAAAAACATGAAGAAACCGACGCAGAGACAAAAATAAAAATATTAAAGAAGTTTATGACGGAAAACAGAAAAAAAAAATTCTGATCAAAATCATAATTGTCAGTAATGTTTGACAGAATTCATGAATTTAGGTATCAAAACCTGTAAAAGGAAAACTCTTGTACCTGAATTAAACTGGAAGCTATGAAAGCTATAGAGGCACAAACGTGAACCAGAAGGCATTCCAAATAGAAAATTAGCAGATCAGAAAATATTTACAAAGGAAAAAGCAGCTGATCTCTCTTGAAAAATAATTAAAAGGCAACACTTCTGCAAAGTCTGCAAGCCGTCTCTGCTTTCCAAGGAGAGCTTTGGTGTAATCAATATTTTATTACCGTTTCCTCCCTACATAAACGTAACTTCATTAATAATCTCATCTAAACACACAGCACAACTCAAGAGTGACTTAATAAACCCATCAATTCTCTACAACAAGAATCGAACACATCCACTGCTGCTGCCAAGCTTGGCAGTTCCTGTTCAGAACCACCAGGTGTCGCCCTCCCCCCACAGAGCTGTCAGTATGTGGAGGCAGGGACTGCGGGAGGACAGCAGGGCTTGATGTGCTTCAGGTGGCAGGAGTGGCAGAGGAGGTGGCCGTTCAGGGGGTAGCAGCGGTGACCCTCTTCATCGTTCAGCTCCATCTTGCAGTCCTGGTCAACGAATCAGAGTGAATCATCCTCTCACAATCAAAAGGACATCCAACCATGTTCTACTTTAATAATTAATTATTTGATTCGTAAGAAAAGTATTCACACATCAGTCATGATCAACAAAACGTCATCAGCGTAGCTAAAGACGTCCTCTCTCTCTGGTCTCCTTCTTGCTCGGTCACTCAGGTTGTGAGGACAACCTGGTGAACCATATTCCATCCGTTTCTTTATGGACTCCAGGGGATGTTCTGGCCCTTCAAGATTGTTTTTTTTTGTAGCCATCCCCTGACCTTCATCCATCCATCCATTTTCTTTACACCCTTGTCCCTTAGTGGGGT